CAACCACATGGTGGCTCACAACCATCTGTAGCGAGATCTGGTGCCCTCTTCTGGTCTGTACTCACATATGCTGTATAAATAAATAAATAAATAAATAAATAAATAAATAAATAAATAAATAAATAAATAAAAAGACAAGAGAAGGGAATAGAAGTATATAAATAAGAAATGAAGAGGGATCCTTGTCTGCAAATTATATAAATCTGTATAAAAGAGACCCTAAAGACTACACTGGAAAATTCATAGGGTTGATAACTGTGTCTGGCAAAATGCAGGATACAAAATTCGTGTATGAAAGCCAGTAGCTGCCCTATACATCAATAACAAACATACTGAGGAGGAAACCAGGGCAACAAGCCCATTCACAACTGCCTCGGAGAAATACCTTGCAAGGAAGAGAAAGACTTCTGCTATGAAAGCTTGTGAGACAGGAAAGACGATGAAGACACTAACTGACAGAAAGGCCAGCTATTGAAAGAAATAAGTGTTACAAATAGGTATCTTCCCCAAAGCATCCTCTAGACTCAGTGGAGGCTGCATCAAAAGCCCAAAGCCATTTTTCACAAAAATAAAAGAAAAAAAAATCTTGAGTTTCATTTGGAGCCATAAAAGACTTGGGATAGCCAAAGCGACCCTAAACAAAAAGAATGATTCTAGACCTATCACCATACTTGATCTCAAGTCATATTACAGAATGATGGTAGGGAAAAGAGCATAACACTGGCCTAGAAAGACGTGCAGATCAACGGGACAGAATAGACATCCAGATCCAAACCCACACGGCCATAACCATCTGACTTTGGCAAAGTTTGAAAAAAAAAAAAAAAACCACATTGGAGAGAAGACAATCGCTTTGGCAGTGCTGGGAAAATTGGACATCTACTTGTAGAAGATTCAAACTAGATCCTTCTCTCTCAACCCGCAAAGAAGTCAACTCCAAATACGTCAAAGACCTTAATGTAAGACCTGAGACTCTGACAGAGAAAAAAAAAAAAGAGGGAAAATATGGACATAGTGAGGACTTTCTGAATAGAACTATTCAGGTGTGACAGGGCGAGACAGTGCAGAAGTTCCTCATCTTCTATTCTTGACGAGGCCATTTCAGGTTTAACTAGAATTTTATCTCCTTGGTAGAGAATCCCACAGGAAATTACCCAACTCTATTCTAGGAACCCCAGGTCAAGATGTCTCAGATATCTTAGCTTCTATCAAACGGCTTGCTTATGCACAGCTCCCATTCCTGCCCCACCCCCATACCCCCCTGCGGATGCCAGGCTGGTGTGGGCATTTGGTCCAATAGCCAATTGTATTGGAGCGGCTTGGCCCAATGGGCGTGGTCTTCTCTGGAGCTAGGTGACCAGATGAGAGCTAGGGAGAAGAGGCGCCGCCCTCTCCTCCACTGTGAAGGGCTTGCTCCCGACCTCCCCCATCTCTCCCTTGGGAACCAAGAGGCATTGGCGCAGCTTCGTTCTGTATTCATGAGTGTATTGTATTGATTTTATCCTTTAATAAACCTGACCTGATCCAAGACTTCCATATCCCGCTTTACCAGGCCCTGGCTTCTGCCTTCAGAAACCATGCGCTTTGGACACTTGGTGCCACACTTAGGGCCTGAATACCTGAGTGGAGAGCCAGCCAGCTGGAATAAACACATTCAATTTCGGCTACAGACTGGGTCTGAGTGGTCATCTCTAGTAGTCTTCTCATAACACAGGAAATAAAGCAAAAAAAAAAAAAAAATTGAAAATAGAACTTCATGAAATTAAATTTCTATACAGCAAAGGAAAGTTAATGGAATGAAGAGACAGCCTTCGAAAAGAGAGATTGTCAGATGTACGTCTAACAGAGGATTAGAATCTGGAATACACAAAGAACTCTAACAACCGAGCAATAAAGGCCTAGAGGGGTGGCTAGTGGAGCAAAGGGAGCACTCGCCACACAGGTACGAGGGCCAGGTTTGGATACCCAGCACCCACATGGAGGGTGGGGTCAGGCAGTGTGGCCCACCTGATGGATTCACAACACGCCCCCATGGTTGGGCATGTTTGCAGGGACCTAGACACTTCCACCTAGCCAGTTCCAGGTCAAAATAGCCATTTCTGGGTCAAGGCATCTCTTGTGACCAGGACCCCTGGCTTTGCATGGTTGTGTAAGAGTGTGCAACGCAACCATGTGATCTGTGTATGCATGGAGTAGCTATTTCCACCTGTGTACCTGCGTGCGCCACCCAGCCTTTACAAGCCGGCGACATATTCCCGCCCTCCCCTTTCTTCTTTCCCACACACAAGTCTCTCCGCAGGCCTGAGCACTTGTCTGTCCCTTTTATCTAAATAAAACTCTTGTTAGTGGATTCTGTCGTGTTTCATGACATTTCCTCTCGGGGTAAGAGCGCTGCTAAATAACTAACACCATCTGCCTGTGATACCAATGCTTGAGAGGCAGAGATCAAGATCCCTGGAGCAGGTTGGCCAGCTAGACTAGCCAAATCAGTGAGCTCTGGGTTCAAATTAAAGACCTTGCCTCAATGGATAAGACAGAGAGTGATAGAGAAAACACCCGACATCAACCCCTGGTCTACACACACACACACACACACACACACACACACACGTGCATTCACACACATGAGAACATTCATTTACACATATACTGTTAATCTCACCGATGGAGAGTAAGGCCACTACCACAGTTTAAAGAAAAATTTGAAGCAAATTTTAATTAAATACTGGCCTGATGGATGGATGGGCTCTGACCAGGTTCATGCCCAAGTTCCCAGGAAATGGCCCAGAATCACAACCAACCAAACAAATCATCCAATCAATAAATGGGCTAATGAAATGAATACAGTTCACAAAAGAGGAAATACAAATGGCCCATTACCTTATGAAAAAATGTTCGCTGGGCGGTGGTGGTGAACGCCTTTAATCCTAACACTTGGGAGGCAAAGGCAGGAGGATCTCTATGAGTTCCAGGCTAGCCTGGGCTACAGAGTGAGTTCCAGGACAGCCAGGGTTGTTACACAGAGAAACCCTGTCTCAAAAAACCAAAAAAGAAAAAATGTTCAAGCTCTCTAGCCATCAGAGGAATGCATGTATCACAACTACATTAACATTATTCTCTTTTACAGCCTGGTGTGCTGGTGTGGGCCTTTAATCTCAGTGCTTGGGAAGCTGAGACAGGTGGATCTCTGTGAGTTGAGGCAGCCAGCCTGGTCTACACAGTGAGTTCCAGGACAGCTAGGGCTAGGTAAAAAGACCTTGTCTCAAAACTCACAGACATGCACACACACAGATTCTGTCTTACCCTAATTATTAAGAAATAAGAGCACTGCCTGGTGGCACACACCTTTAATCCCAGGACTTGGCCTGTAGATCTCTGTGATTTTGAGACCAGCCTGGCCTACATACAGAGTTCCAGGACAGGGCTACATAGTGAGATCCTGTCTTAGAAGAAAGAAAGAAAGAAAGAAAGAAAGAAAGAAAGAAAGAAAGAAAGAAAGAAAGAAAGAAAGAAA